TCCAGATCATCATCATCACTACGATCCGCAAACTGCACTTTACGTTTACTCATACTTGCAACCTGGAAGGAAGCAAAGCAGAAATTAGTAAGTACATCATTAAACATCTTTTTTTGCAAATAATGGTATACAGTAACATTAATGTATCAAGGCACAAAATGCCAACTGAACTAGTACTGCATATGCAGTTTTGTGAGCTGTGCAGGTCTTCTGCTGTTTACCTGTACCGGTCCATGTACAAATGTAGGTAATTTGTTATATATTGATTTATCATGTAGCATAAAAGAAATAATGGCAATGGTTTTTCATGTGATCAATGCTTCCTAATTTCTAAGTGGCACAGTTGAAATATGTCTGATGCAGGTAATTTTCAATGTTACATGCACCAGTGCAGGTATGCAGAAAAAAAGTATTCCAGGCCCTGTAGATGGATGTCTGTATATAGAACATAGAAGAGCTTCTTGTTTCCTAAACATTCAACATTCTACACTAGTACTTGCTGCTTGAGTATGATGTTTCTCTCTGGTTATTACCCTTAAAGTTTTTTATAAACCTGAACCCAACATTTTCAGATTATAGTGTAGATTCTATGTAGGAAACACAGAATATACTCATTTGAAACACTCAATTTAAAGTGATATTATGTAGGATTTTCGCTCCAAAACTGAAAGTACAAATAATTGAAATTTTCTCATCTAGATTGTCATTTTCGATAACTTTCAACGTATTAGCGTCGCTATTTCGCCTTTTCGGCAACTCAGCGCAGCGCGAGAATAAGGTGCGCAAGGCCAGACGTATTTATTTGTGCCCCAATAAATAGAATGTAAACAAACAACGGTTTTCGTTCGGAAATCTTCGGCAACTTCCGGCGCGTGTCTGGGTTCCATGGTTCAAACGCTGGAGTTCGAAGCCGATTGACTTCAAATTTGCCAATTTTTGAAGGGTCAGTACCTAATCTAAAATCCTCTTTTTGTATATACTTGAAAGTTATCATGTCACTTATCATATTGCTTGTGGTAACCACATTCATACAGTTTCTCATACCAAGGAACGAAGTTTATGACATTACGCTAAATGTATCAAAATGTTGCGGAAACTCAGAATGGTACATGCGCCGGTAGCTACAACTGGGCTAAAATTTCGTCACCGCGATGTGTGCACCGTCGCGGTTTTCTTTGGGGCAAACCCGTTTGTCCTAAAACTAACCAGGGGACTTTGGTATCGATGTAGGTGAAGATGTGGGCTATCACACTGTGGTATTAGCTAATGGGATCCAGTTGGCCAGTAAAAAAAGATAAGCACAGATAAACTGACCAAAAATGCTAATGTTTGGAAGGCCATAACGATCGGTGTCATTTTGTAATGCACGAAATATCTACATTGTTGTACTAGGCAAATCCTGTAGATATGAAAAGTTCGGCTGGATTCGGGAATGCTCGGACGCGGTCAGATGTAAACAAACATGGGCCGATCCGTTGTGCGCAGTTTTCCAACACGTTTTTGCGGCGTAACGACGTTTATCTTTTAATCCCTAAATGTCATTATGAACCCAGGTAGGCTTACAGAGCAAGAAAATGTTTAAAATAAAGATGTTTAAAATAGTTAAAATTCTACATAATATATAGCTTTAAAGACAAATTGTCATGAACAATTCATCATAAGTTAAGACGAAATCTGTGCACAGTACAGTAGTCTTAGCAGCAATGGCTGTACGTAACGTTAGCTACCTTACCAAATTCATAATCATATGTACAACATGTGAAGTTACAGCTAGTATGTAACATGCCCCATTCACATAAATTTAGGTCGACCAGCCTCCCCCACTTTCAGGTCCAAACCTTAATCTCATCCCTTTATACACCGTCACGTCGGGAATGATGTTGCAGCTAAATTAGTTAATCCAGAGGGTACGCATGCCGTTTTTTCCGTTCCACAGTCCTACATTAAAAGCGCGAAGCCTGCAAACAAGACTGCATGTGTTTATCTTGCATGCGTTGTTGCACGTCGCGTTTCATGTTTAACTTTAACCTATCTACATCAAATTACCCTAAATCTCATACTCTTGTCATACTTCCGACTCACCACACAGATACCTCAGGGTACTCCAGAACTCTTCAACCGCGACGTGTATCTTTAGAACACAGCAAAATTTCCTATTTTGTCACTTCAGTCTTGCAGCCTTGGAGAACAGAAAAAAACGTTTCAAAAACGAGGTGAATGAGGTCAAAGGTTAAGCTGGAAGCAACGAAATGAATGAATATACTATTTTCTGGGTTCTCCT